GGATTTGGAGATTTGGAGATGTGGGGATTTGGGGAGGTGGGGATTTTGATGGGATATGGGGATTTTGGGATATGGGGATATGGGGATTTTGGGATGTGGGGATTTTGGGATGTGGGGATTTTGGGATGTGGGGATTTGGGGATGTTGGGATTTGGGGATGCGGGGATGCGGGGATTTGAGGATGCGGGGATTTGGGGATTTGGGGATGTGGAGATTTGGGAATGTGGGGATTTGGGGATTTAGGGATGTGGGGATCTGAGGATGTGGGGATGTGGGAATGTGGGGATTTGGGGATGTGAGGATTTGGGGATTTGGGGATTTGGGGATGTGGGGATTTGGGAATGTAAGGATTTGGGGATGAAAGGATTTGGGGATTCAGAGTTTAGGGGACGTAGGGATTTGGAGAAGTAGAGGTTTGGGGATGTAGGGATTTGGGGATGGAGGGAGTTGGGGATGCAGGGATTTGGTGACATTTCGTGTTCAACATATAACACCATTATTATGACCTAATCACTTTGGTGGTTTTATGTTGTGATTAGGTCATGATAATGGTGTTATGATAATGGAACCACATTGAACACGAAATGTAAACATATCAGTAAGAAATACCGGTAAGTACAGTAATACGAAATATTTGAAATATTTCGTTTGTTCTTGACTCTGAATGGGTTTCAAGGTGATGATATGATACATCGTTGAATTTGTTTTGATACGCCCTTTCATATGATATAAAAAAATATATACCATTCCATTAAGAAAACTGAAGGTTTCCTTCATATCTCAAAAAATAGTATAAACACGAAAAAAATATATACTTCGTTATGTTGATTATAAAAAATACTGCCACTTTTTCCTCTTTCATTTGTTTCTCGTAGGAGTCGTTTACGAGAAAAACGCTGGCTAGTAAATCTCTGAACACCCTGTATAGATGTGGATATAGAGATAGAGGTATATAGATGTGGATATAGAAATAAAGGTATATAGAGTGGATACAGAGATAAAGGTGTATAGATGTGGACATAGAGATAGAGTTATAGAGATGTGAATATAGAGATAGAGGTATATTGATGTGGATATAGAGATAGAGGTATATTGATGTGGATACAGAGATAGAGGTATATAGATGTGGATATGGATGTACAGAGATTTAGAGATACACGTAGACATTTAGCACCATAGGAATCTAACTACCAATGACCTACTTCCACATGAACTTAAAAAATAAAGAAGACGAAGAAACACCTAAATTAAAAAATGTGCAAACTGCAACCTCCAAGAATTCAACTACCTCTTTCTCCAGAAATATAAACATTTCAATACTTCACAAACCTACAAATACAAACATCCACCTCCCCGGGAACCTCGTCCCCCAAAAACTTGAAAATACACAAACATAAAAGTGCGCAAAAATAACAACCAGAAATCCAGCAACATTGAAGCAAAAGAATGGCGCACAAACACAAAGATCCTAAAATGTACAAATTGAATGTATATCCTGCAGTCTGTTATTTCAATGGAGCCCGCCGCTGTTATCGTCGATAGAAGAGATCGGTTGCAACCGAAGGCTGGTTGACATGTTGAAATTTGTTGTCAGATCGAGATAAACATGCCTCGTCTTCCTGTGACAAACGTAATCGAAGAGAAACTTGCTCGCGGGCCATCTTTGTACACATATACACACAAGTAGACAGACACACAGATCGGGACAACAATAAGGTAGCTGCGTTTCCATTGTTGTCCCGCAGAAAGATCCGGGGAACGCTTTTAGGTGATACATTTCTAGGAATTTCATTCCGGGAAACGGGCCTGCAGATGCTATCACGACGGTTAGACGAGACTTTTCTTGTATTACAGACGAACCGAAGAATTGTTCGTTTTCTCGTTGAGTCGAATGGAACGTGAGAGGAAGGGATCCGATTTTATATGCAGTGAAACTTTACTCCTGAAAACGTGCCGTAAGCAGCGGAGGAGAAGGGAAGCGCAGGGCGAATGGAGGACTAGAAATAAATTGCTAATAGTGATATAGGAGTACAGGGATATTGGTAAGAGGAGGTCTAGGGATTTCCGATGCAAGAATTTGGAGCTATAGGGATATTGGAGCACGGAAATTTTAGTATATGGAGGTCTGGGGATATTGAATAGAAATGTAAGAATATAGGGATTTTGGAACGTTAGAATTTTGGGCTATAGGGAATTTTGGGATATAAGAAATTTTGGGGCATTACAATTTTTGGAGTACAGGAAATTATGGGGTAACAGAACTTTTGAATCTAGGGAATTTTGGGTTATAAGGAATTTTTGGATCTAGGGAATTTTGGGTTATAAGGAATTTTTTGATCTAGGGAATTTTCGGGTATCAGAGTTTTTTGGATATAGGAAATTTTTAGATCCAGGGAATTTTGGGTTATAAGGAATTATGGGATATAGGGAATTTTAAGATCTAGGGAATTTTGGGTTATAAGGAATTTTGGGACGTAGGGAATTTTGAGGTATTAGAATTTTTGGGATATAGGGAATTTTAGGCTCTAGTGAATTTTGGGATCTATGGAACTTTGGGATATAGTGAATTTTTGGATCTAGGGAATTTTAGGCTCTAGTGAATTTTGGGATCAATGGAATTTTGGAATATAAGGAATTTTTGAATTTAGGGAATTTTGGTATCTATGGAACTTTGGGATATAGTGAATTTTTGAATCTAGGGAATTTTGAGTTATAGGAAATTTTGGGATCAATGGAATTTTGGAATATAAGGAATTTTTAAATCTAGGGAATTTTGGTATCTATGGAACTTTGGGATATAGTGAATTTTTGAATCTAGGGAATTTTGAGTTATAGGAAATTTTGGGATATAGGGCGTTTTGAGATCTAGGGAATTTTGGATTATAGAGAATTTTTGGATATAGGGATTTGGGAACAGAAAAGACTTCGGTTATAGGGAATTTTGAGATCTAGGGAATTTTAGAATATAAGGAATTACATAGAGATTTTAGAATATAGAAATTTTATAATCTAGGGAACTTTGAGACATAGGAATTTTGGGATTTAAAAATTTGGTGACGTAAGAATATTAGTATATTAGGACTTTGAAATGTTGAAATTTGGAGTTATAGACATTTGTGAATATAGCCACTAAAAAGAATCTAGTAAAAAAATATTCTTTGAAAATTATATAAACTTGAAAGTCTATAATACAATCGTAAAATATCCAAGAACTTAAGAATTCAGTTACCTTCCAGTTTAAGGATTTTTGTACTCCGTGAAACCGTTCGGTAATATAGCGGAAGAAAGAATAGAAGAAAACTAGAGACCGTGTAGAGAATTAGCATAGAAACGACAAAAGTTCTAATTTTATGTTACAGAGAATGTATAAACATGACGGTTTTTCATTCCGTAGATTTGAATGCGACTACCTTGGTGAAAAGTAAATTGTGCACGCAGCCGCTTTGAAGTTAAAACGGTTGAAGTAAACGGAGATGAAGTTTCGCTAGAATGTCCTCGCTGAGTGGTTATTCGTATCTCCAAGGTTGGTAGTAACAGTTTACTTCGTAAAAATGATATGAAACGGGTGAGCACCGTTCGATATGGCCTACCGAGGTATAAAGTCGAGTAACTTTAAACCTTAATCTTAAGAACCAAAGTTTCGAGATTAACATCCTATGAAATTTGTGCTTTCGAAGCTTTAAAGACTGGCACTAACTCGAGAACTTTTAAAGAGGTTTATACCTCTTTTGTGATCTGATAGCTTATTTTGTTATAAAATATGAATTAGGATGGATAGGTCTGATTTACAAACTTTTTTAATTTTTAGAGTTTTGAGATTTGTGTATTCATTTTTGGGTTATGAAATTTTTGTTTTTAGTGTTTTTATATTTTTAATGGTCCATATATAGATTTCTACTTTTTCAAATTTCCAGCTTTCAATTTTCTAGATTTTCAAATTTCTCAACTTTCCAATTTTCCAATTTCCCAATTTCCCACATTACCAATTGTCCAATTTCCCAATTTCCCAAATTACTAATTTTCCAATTTTCCAATTTCCCAAGTTACCAATTTTCCAATTTCTCAATTTCCCAATTTACCAAGGTTCTCATTCTCCAATTTCCCCATTTCCCCATTTCCCAAATTTCCCATTTCCCAATTTCACAATTTCACAATTCCCCTATTTCCCAAATTACTAATTTTCCAATTT